GGTGTTTGATTATGATTTTAGAAGAAAAAAAAATATATTTTTGTATGATAGCATAAACTTTTTTTTATAAGCTAAAAAATATGTAATTTTTTTTATAGAAGTTCTTTTAAAACCTTAGTTAAGCAAAACGGCTATTCTAATATTGATAAAAGTATTTCTAAAATTATTAATTCAAATATAAATTATTACTCTCCAAAATTATTTATGATGTTCGACTAAATAGACTACAAAATGATTAAAGGTGGCACTAATTTGTTTTTTGTTTTTTTTTTAATGATTAACGCATTTTTAAAAATTATTATATTGAGAAACTTCTTATAATTTTTCTTCTCCACTTCAGGTAATAGCCCACCATATTATATAAATTATTATACCAACTTCACCACTTCAACTTTTTCTCTTTAATTATACCAAAAAGTAAAAGGTTATTGATTAGTTCAACTTAATGACTGATTACTGATGAAATCTGCTACTTGAGCTAGCTAAACACTATATTAAAAATAATTTTGATAATAATTAATTAATAATAATAATTTAATTATTATTAAATATATTTTTGGCTCGATAATTAGCACTTTATGTAAATGTCTCTAAAGTCTATAATGACATTGAATTCAATAATAATTAACTAATATCAATTTTATACTCTTTACTAATGTGTATATTTATGGGCGCTAAAATTATTTTTCGACAACTCCGAATAATTCTTTGGATACTACTATACAGCGGAAGTTTTTCTTATTTTCACTTTATTCAATACATCTAATTCAAATTTACTTTTTCTTAACCTATTTAAAAGAAAACACTTCTTAATCAAGACTTTCTTTTTTTATATTTAGACTAAAACGTGAAACTTAAATTTTTTTTATGTTTAGACTTAAACGCGAAACCTCTATTAATGGATGGAATTAGGATCATTATCCCTCCTAGCACAACCCTTATTAGTCTATGCAATGCTAGTTAATTAAGTGGAAAATTAACTTTATTCAAAATTGACATGCTAAGTGGGGAAGGCCCAATTCTTTTTTTAAAAATTATATTAATTTCACCTAAAAATGTAAGACAAAAGTCATTTTATCTAATGACTATGCCCCATTTTTGACACAATAAGGTACAGACGGGTTAAATACCATTTATTTCCGATTCAAAATGATGAAGGTTAAAGTATTCGATCATCTTTAAAAATGTTATCGTATTTGTATAAATTTTTAAAAGGTACACTATTTTTAAGGATTCAATACTACACATTCGATCACGTACATATTTGAAGAGACAATATGGTATGTATGTTTTCCTTTAAAAATCAATTTTTTGGTGAATGTTTTCCTTTCGACCAAGCACACCTTTTAAGGATAGAAACCCAAATACCTACCATTCAATAATTTTTGCTTAAACAATATATTTATGTTACAAAATTCACTAAATATATATCTACATATTAAACTTAAATTCAGATATTAACACTTGAATGACTTGATCATGTTTTAAAATTCAAAATTCATAAATTTAAAATTCTGACTCGAACACTCCCGGAGTCACTTCATTGTCTCTTCCTTTCTTTTTCTAATTCACCTTTCAAAATCATCACTATTTGTGTTTTGATTTTCTATTTTGACTTAGCTATGGTTACTAGAAGCACCATCCAATATTTTTTCCTAGTCTATGGGGTTTGGCAACTAACATATCATATATATTTTCTCTTTCCAACCATTAATTTCTATATAAATATAAAATAACCACTCCACTTTAAATCCTCCATAACACAACAAAAACAAGAAAACTCATTGAGCCATATACAAAAAATGGAGTTGCTAGCAATAACACTAGTATGTGTATTTGGTCTATTGTTTCATCTTTACAATTTACTTATAACAAAGCCAAGAAAGCTCCAATTAGCTCTTAAAAAGCAGGGAATAGTTGGGCCACAACCAAAATTTCTTCTTGGAAACATCTTGGAGATGAAAAAATCATATGAGGCTGCTAAAAAAATTGTCTCAAATGGAGATGTAGTGGACTCACATAATTGTGGAGCAACTATCCTTCCCTTCTTTGATCAATGGCACAGACAATATGGTATGTTTAAAATTTTGTTATTTACGACCTTTACGTCTAACTTTGCCTCTTTGAGGTATGAGTAAGGTCTGCGTATGCTTCACTTCATTTCGTGTGTCTACAATAGATATGTTGTTGTTGTTGTTATAGGGGATGACTTATGTTTATGCTCATGATACTATATTGAATTATGCGACTATCTCATTTAAAAGTCGCTTTTATGTATTTAACAGGTGAAGTATTCATGTTTTCTCTTGGGAACACACAAATTGTACATGTGACACAACCAGAAATGGTAAGAGAGATCACTACTTGCACATCATTGGATTTGGGAAAGCCAACATATCAAGTAAAAGAGAGAGGCTCTTTGTTAGGCAATGGGATCCTAACTTCAAATGGACCTTTTTGGGCACATCAAAGGAAAATTCTTGCTCCTGAGTTATATATGGATAAAGTTAAGGTAAAAAATTTGGACTTTATGGGTTCTCATCAAGTGAAACTTTTTTTTACCAGAAAGATACATGATCTGTCTCAAATTCTATATATTTGTGGCTTTCATGTAGGGTATGATAAATTTAGTGCAGGATTCTGCATTAACATTGTTGAATTCATGGAATAATGAAATTGAAGCTCAAGGTGGGATTGCTGACATTAAAATTGATCCAGACTTGAGAAGATTCTCCGGAGACGTAATTTCTAAAGCATGTTTTGGAAGCAATTTTTCAAAAGGAGAAGAAATCTTCTATAAGCTTAGAGCCCTCCAAGAGGCTTCTTCCAGAAGGGTCATGTCTACCGGAATCCCCGGAATCAGGTACAATATCCCGGAAAGAAAATGTGAAATTACTTTATCCCACGTTTAGTTTAACATTTGATTCTGATATAAGTTTTCTCGAGAGATAATAATAACTCTTTGTGCGATGAGAATCACACGATAAACGTACTAGAAATGACACATTTACATGCCCTTATCAAAAGCAGAGAGTTTTTCTTCCAAAGTCTTAAGAAACTACGGGTTAAAATTGAAAATACTCTTCTACTCTACTATCTAAACTTAGATATACCTTCAATCTGTCACGTGACATAGCAAGTGGTTTCAAACTCTTCTAGGAATATGTGACTCTTAATTATAAAAAACCAAGAGAAGCATTGAAAATACTCTAAACTTGATGAGAATTTAGGAGTGAATTTCATTCATGTTGCAAGATCGGGGGTGTATTTAAGTTGAGGGTGTTTTGATGAAACTAATAATTTTTATGCTGAGTATAGGGTGTTTTCAGTACTTCTCTCAAATCGAAAATGAAAGTCTATCTAATGCTTTTTTTGTATTATAACCCGAAAATCCCATTTTAGACTGATGATATCAAATCTATATCTAGTGATTACTTAAAAGCAAAATAGATAAATATGCTCTTTAACTTGGCCTTAGCTAAGGCATTTCGCGTGAGACACACTCGAGCTGATTTGCGTTGTGCCACGCATAAGACGTGTGTGTCTACTTGTTCAAAATCCATAAACTAAATATCTCGACCCAATTTTTTATTTTTTGTTGTTGTTGGATGGAACAGATATATTCCTAGCAAGAACAACAGGGAGACATGGGCATTAGAGAAGGAAATCAAAGCATTGATCTTGAAAATAGTGAAAGAAAAAAGAAGATCAGAAGCAGCTCCAAGTGATCAAAAGGATTTACTGCAAATGGTTCTTGAAGGAGCTACAATAAACATGAATACTCAAAATGCAATTGATAATTTCATAGTTGATAACTGCAAAAACATTTACTTGGCTGGTTATGAAACCACTGCTGTTGCTGCAACATGGTGCCTCATGCTTTTGGCTGCAAATCCAATTTGGCAACAACGTGTTCGCGATGAAGTTGTACAAATCTGTAAGAGTCGAATTCCTGATGCTGACATGATTCGACAGATGAAACAGGTACGAGTTAATTTCACATATGATCATCCTCCGAAAAATTCATCAAAGCTAACAAAGATTAGTATTACTATGATGTCTTGATTTGCAGCTAACAATGGTGATTAACGAATCATTGCGTCTTTATCCACCAGTAGCAGTGATATCAAGAGAAGCATTAAAAGAAATGAAGTTTGGAGAAATTAGTGTTCCTAAAGGTGTTAATCTTTGGACAATTGTGACAACATTACACACTGATCCAAAAATATGGGGAAATGATTCATACAAGTTTAATCCAGAAAGGTTTGCAAATGGAATTAGAGGTGCATGTGAATTTCCACATGTGTATATGCCTTTTGGGGTTGGACCAAGGGTGTGCTTGGGACAAAATTTGGCTATTGTGGAACTTAAGATACTCATTTCTTTAATTTTGACCAAATTTTGTTTATCAATTTCACCAAAGTATGTTCATTCTCCAGCTCTAAATTTGGTCATTGAGCCTGGACATGGTGTGTATCTATCTTTGAGGAAGTTGTGATCAAATACAGAGTTGATTTTGGATGCTACTTTTCCATTTATTTTTATTTATATGTAATGAGCAAACAACAGTAGCAGAGTCAAAGTTTATTTTATTTATATATAGAAAAGAAAAGAACTTATGTATACCGTATAGTTTTATGTCGAAAAGAGTTCAGATGAATCTCTTCTGCCCCTATAGCCCCGCCCTTGATAATGAGGTAATCTAACTATAACTTTTGATGCAAAAAAATAAAATAAAATTGAGTTTTATTTAGTCTTATGTATACCCAGCTCTCCATATTTTTTACGTGTTCACAATAAATAGATGCAAGTCGCAAATCACAATATTCATTTTATCGCAGCATTACTGAATAAAAAGTAATCAAATATATATATATATATATATATATATATATATATATATATATATATATATATATATATATATATATATATATATATATATATATATATAATTGGATGACCTGACAGTGTCAAAAATATTTAGTATATGTATTTTTTCATATATAATATAAATCCTGGAATTATGCGGAAAAAATGGGTAACATATGGTAATGGTGCAATTTTGGTCACACCTTTGGCTCTCAGTTCGTTGGACTCTTTGAATAATTCAGTAACAGTCTTAAAACAAGAAGAGTTGAATAGCTCTATGAGTCACTTCTTCAAACACAACAAACAAGAAGCTAGATATATCAAAATTAAGGAGAAAATCGAGCACGATTCTGTACCCAATTCTTACTAATTAGATCTTGTACTCATTTATCTTTTAGGTGATCTGACAGTATATCTATAAGTCCATTGAACTTGTTGATTCGTTTATTTGATGAGTTGATATTTGCAGGAGAATTGATCAAAATGTCCAATCCAGTGGAGGAAATTGTTGGTGAATCTACAATGGAGAATAAGCAAAAAGCCTTAAATCACAATGATTTTTCTTCATCATCAACAACAGATGATTCTAGACGTCCAATCGATAAGAAGAAGTGTCATCTCTTCAATCGTCACAAACCTGTCCACTCTATTTTAGGTGGTGGCAAATGTATGTTTTCCTCAAATTCTTCATGTCCATTTTTTGAGTTTTTGATTTAAAAATGGTCTCTTGAATGCATATGATCTCTTAAGTTTGCGGAAAAATTGAGCACTTTTTGTCCAACTGACGAACATCTAGACATACTAAAGATTGATCATTGATGTGCAAAGAGTTACAGTTTTGAGTTAGACGAACCTGATAGAGATCTTCTTCCTCAATTTGCACTGATCATAGTGAGAACAGAGAGGTTCAAATAAAGAGAATCACTGAAAAAAAACGTCTATCAGTAACGAAAAATAAAGCCTCATTGAAAACAAAAATGGGAATGTGGAGACGTATGATATTTCCGTTAATTTAAGATGATTCATTTAGAAGTTTCATCAGTTGGACTTAACGTGCTCAATTTTAGGTGTTTGACAAACTTAAAGAGTCATAAGTGTTGCGAGTACTATAAAAAGGACGAAATTCAACTGAAATTTGCGTTAAAAGCTCTACACTAATAATCATTCTTGAAGTAACTGGTGATTATTGGTTTGTTCTGAAAATGGATGGATCAGTGGCTGATATTCTACTATGGAGGAAGAAGATTTCAGGAGGACTGCTTGCTGGTGCCACAGTCATATGGTTTCTCTTTGAATGTATTGGTTATCACTTGCTCACTCTTATTTGCCATTCTCTCATAGTCTCATTGGCCATCTTGTTCTTTTGGTCCAATCTCTCCCTCTTTATCAACAAGTGAGTTCACTTCCTTTTCCTTGGCCAATGTTTTAGTAGTGAAGTATTTTTTTAGTTTTCCATCTGGTATCTAAACCTGCATTAGAGGAAGCCCCACATTTGGGCGGGGGATAAGTGCTCACTAACAAAGGCGACTCCATACCTGACTCAAACCTGAGATCTCGGGTTATGGATGAAGGAGTTAAATGTTGATATTTATGAGTTGGTTCCAACCATCTAACTCTCTGCATTCATGCTTTTTGCTAGTTGTGCCTCTTGCTCGAGCATTGTACTAAATTGATCATCTTTTTTGAGATAAGGGTAATTTTTGTACTAAATTGATCATCTAGTATTCACTGGGCAGGAGCTTTGTAGAGTTACCAAAGATTGAATTGCCAGAAGAGTTGTGGATGCGATTGGTCCTCTTACTGAGGAATCAATGCACCAGTGCAGTTGGTATCTTTCGGGAAGTAGCATCCGGAAATGATTTGAAGAAGTTTCTATATGTAAAATTTTCCACTCCTTGAACTTTGTTATTACTAGTAAAGTCCATTTCAACTGCAACAAGTTCATGTGATTAAATGCTCATCTGCAGGCAATTTTTAGCTTGTGGATTGTTTCCATTGTTGGCAGATGGTTCAGTTTTCTGACCCTTGTATACCTCAGTAAGTTCTCTATACACTTGCATTTTGTATCTGTTGGCTGCAGAAGCCAAACTTATGAAATTTGCTCACTGGTATGTGGAAATTCAGTAGTTCGGTTGATGCGTGACCTGTTTTCTGTGTTCATAATGATTTATCAAGATAACCAAAATTTTCATTTTTTGGACAGTAACTGTCATGCTGTTGACGGTACCATTTCTCTATGAAAAGTATGGAGATCAAGTAGATACCTATGGAGAAATGGCTATAAAAGAACTCAGGAAACAGTATAGTCAAGTGGATGAGAAAGTTCTTCAAAAACTACCAATTCCTTTCATTAAAGACAGTAAGCAGGAATGATGCAACTCGTCTCTCAGACAGATATTGCTTCACTTCAACAGTAGATGCAGTCTTCTACTTATTTTTGTTTCATAAGCTGTACTAAACTTTACAACACTCGGTTTCATCCTGCAATATTGGCTAATTTATCCAATCTTGCTGAGACGGGTTGCTTTAGTAGTTGTCCCCCATCCTAATCTCCGTTCATGCATTTATTGGTTGATGTAGAAAAATTGTTACACTATCATGTTCTGGCAATTTCCATCAAAATAACCATATTTGATATAACATGGAGTGGTCAAAAACTAAATGCTTGAAACAGATCAAAGGTGACCAACCAAATAAACAGAGTAGTATTGCAAATTAAAATTGAACCACATACAGGAATTTGGGATGGAATAATGGTGAACCAAAAAAATCTCTTAGATCACATCAGAATTCAGAACCAACAAAAAAGAACCTGGAAAATGAATATTCAGTTGCTAAACAAGCTCGATATATGCCATCGGTGCATTGTCCCCTCGCCTTGGTAGAGTTCTTATTATTCTAGTGTATCCTCCATTCCTCTCTCCATATCTTTCGGGAACTTCAGCAAACAATGCATGCACTATCTGCTTCTCATAGATGAACCCAAGAGCTTGCCTTCTCTTATGAAGAGAGCCATCCTTCGCCATTGTGACCATTTTGTCTACATATTTTCTCACCGCCCTGGCCCTCGCTTTAGTGGTCTTTATACGCCCATGCTTGAGGAGCTGAGTTGTGAGACCTCTCAGAAGTGCTCGGCGCTGATCAGGAGGTCTATTCAGTTTGGGCACCTTCCTGCCATGTCTCATGGCAAAAACTCGGCCACCACTATCAATAATGGTGAATGAGTCCTCAAAACTTTTTGAGTCTGCAATATAAATTAAAGGTATACTTATGGTAGAGCAATATATTCACACACAAGTTTGATCATTGAGTAATGTGAACTCAAAATTATAGGCAAACTTGATCAAAGATAATAAAACAACAAATTTGGTATAAAACAACACTATTAGGAGAGTCATAAATCAAGAGCTCAATCATATGCTGCAGACTGACAGGGAAAGATGTTCACAGACTAAACTCTAGCAGTAGAAATGCAATACCCGCTGAACTATGTATAGGAGCTAATCAAGAATTCTCTATTATAGAGTGATACCAACCACTATACATAGGACTCCACAACTCCCACCAAGGGTAGAGCTACAAGCCTGTCAACAGTCCAGTGCACTAAGCTCGCAATATGCGGGGTACAAGGAAGGGCTCTGAATCACAAGGGTCTATTATACGCTGCCTTACTCTGCCTTTCTGCAGGAAGTTATTTCCACAGCTTGAACTCGTGACTTCCAGGTCACACATCAAAACTTTACCAGTTACACCAAGGCTACCCTTCGTACTCGTGCTTGCATTTGTGGTTAAAAATTCAGTCAAGAGTTAGTATGTACAGAAAGAAAAACTGCCTTTTAAGAAACTAGAATCCATAAACTGAATATCCTAGCTCCGCCTAACTACCCACCCCTATACACCACAGTTAACAAGAAGGGGCTTAAAATAAAAAGGGAAATTGGGTTTCCTTACACTAAAAGATGCAAACTTTTGTTCAAACACAGACAATGCAACATCAAAGAAATTACATATACTAAGTAACACCAATTGGAGTAAAACGTAAAATGGTGGTTTGAAATCTTGAAAAAAACATATTTTTTGCACGAATTTTAATCAGAAAAAATGCTACCTTGAGAAGAAAGGGACAAAAGTGGATGCAGGGGAGCAAGACCCACGAAGGACTGAATAATTGTTGAACTGGACTTGGGTTTGCAAATCCTGAGACGAGATGGAGAAGACCCAGAAGAGAATCTAAGTGATGAGTTTGAAATTGGTTGAACTGTAGGGAGAGCCGATTTCAAGCAAGACATGCTCCAAGTTGCAGAAGCCATATCTTCCTAACTTTGATTTCTTGCTTCTCTGCTTATGTTCCGAATGAGCTGTGGGTTTATCTGAATGGATAAGTGAACTTTTAGTACCCCAACTCTACTCTATATTTTTCCTTTGGCCCTCTAACTTTTGTTTCTGTCATTTCGACTTTCTTACCTTTTTCTTTTTAAGCAACCTGTCATAGTTTTTTTCAGGAGATAGATATATTGTTTTCGATAGATCCTCCCTCAGTATAAGGAATTTTTTCATCTATCACAATACTTTTTCTACCCTGTTTTCTTCGAAATTACTTTTCGACTTAAAGCAAAAAAAGTAAGTTAAAATGTGTGTAGTAGATATTCTTATGTGTTACCGGTTAAAAGTGTGTTAACAAAGAGGCTGAGGTTACAAAATGTTATATCAAGTAGATGCCTAATGGGCCATAAAAGAGCTAAGAAGACAATATAGTCAAGATTTCACGTATTTGACATTTGAGTTTCACTTTCTATATACTGATGGTGTAAAATAAGCTTAGCAATGTCATGTTTGATTGCAGCAATTTCCATGAAAACAACTATATTTGATACAATATGCAGAGGTCAACAACTAAATGCTTGAAACATATCAAAGGTGACCAACCAAATAAACAGTAACTGCAAATTAAAATTGAATGGAATAATTGGTGAAACTAACAAAATCTCTTAGTTCTCATCAGAATTAAGAACCAACCAAAAATATCCTTCGAAATGAATATTCAGTTGCTATACAAGCTCAATGTATGCCATTGGTGCATTGTCCCCTCGCCTAGGTAGAGTTCTTATTATCCTAGTGTATCCTCCGTTCCTCTCTCCATATCTTTCCGGGACTTCAGCAAACAATGCATGCACTATTTGCTTCTCATAAATGAATCCAAGAGCTTGCCTTCGCTTGTGAAGAGAGCCATCCTTTGCCATCGTCACCATTTTGTCAACATATTTTCTAACCGCCCTGGCCCTTGCTTTAGTGGTCTTTATACGCCCATGCTTGAGGAGCTGAGTTGTCAGACCTCTCAAAAGTGCCCGACGCTGGTCAGGAGGTCTATTCAATTTGGGCACCTTCCTGCCATGCCTCATTGCAAAAACCCGGCCACCATTATCAATTATGGTGAATGAGTTCTCGAAACTTGTTGAATCTGCAATACAAATTAAAGGTGTAATAAGTGGTAGAGCAGCACAACTTAACATGCAAAAGCTGCATTAGTAAAATGAACTTCTTTTTATAAAGTCAAGAGTAAAATTGACTAAATAAGTACGCCTCAACATTCAAGAGTACACTAGGAATTCACGTTTCTGAGACAGTTCCAAATCTCAGACATCAACATCTTCAACATGATGTCTCAACATCATCAGCTAATCAGTTCGCTCAAGTCTCCTTCTGTTAATGCTACAATTATAATGAGATCTGCTATTTAGATAACTAGTAGCGTGTTTGTAGTGATACAACATCTATACATCAGACTCTATGTAAGTTTGTACGTGTGCTACAGTACCTAGTACACAAATATTATACATGTTTTCCACATTTGAATTATTTCATTCTTGACAACCCAGATGAAACATTGTGACTTCTCCAGTTAGACACCCCCTTTCCTAGAGGCTAGAAGTACCTTGATTACCATATCGCAATAGAAATCTGTAGCCGCTATCAATTGCATCTTCACACCTCCCTACCTTAACATCCCACAACTTTAATGAGAAAGAATAGGAAAATAGCTAACCCTCTCGCCTAGTGGGATGTACTGAGGCTAGTCTCTCTCAAACCCCACTTGAACAACAGTAAACTCAAATCTAATGAAGGAGATCCACAATTTGAACAAAGGTACACGGTATCTTTCCTACCCCTTTCTATTTCGAGTCCCTCCTTTATCAGAATGCACCAACCGCGCAAAATATAGCTTGGCTTTCCTTACTCTAAAAGATGCAAGCTTTTGTGCATTCACATGCTTCAGGGAACAAACTAACACACAATGTGGCAATTTCAACTAGCAGCATACAACCAAAAATAATGTAGACATTGCCAATCATAAGAAAAAACCAGGAATTCTAAAAGGGATTCAAAAATTTTCAAGAATGCAACCCCTTAGAATTGAACTTGCAACCAAAAGCAAATTTTCAGCCACATTTCCCTCTACACTAGAAACTTCTTTATCTTAGAAGGAATTCAACAATTCATCTATACAAAAAAAATAAAAATCATCTGTTTCAATTGAACCCCTTCAATACATGTAACTCCTCCCCTGTTTCCGAGGGCAATGTATCAGCATGAGTTATCCAATCCCCACACCCACACCCACACCCCATTTTTTAAAACTAAAAGTAACACCCATTGGAGCAAAAGGTACAATGATGGTATTTAACTCTTGAAATTTATCTATTTGCACAAAATTAATCATAAAAATTTTACCTTGAGAGAAAAGGGACAAGAGTGGATGAAGGGGAGCAAGACCCTCGAAGGACTGAATAATTGTTGAACTAGACTTGGGTTTGCAAATTCTGATACGAGAAGGAGAAGACCCAGAAGAGAATCGAAGTGAAGAGTTGGAAATTGGTTGAATTGAAGGGAGAGCTGATTTCAAACAAGACATGCTCCATGTAGTTGAAGCCATATCTGATATCCTCAAGCTTGTGTTCCTAATTCTCGTGGTTTATCTAAATGAACAAAAGTGAATTTTGGTACCCTAATTTTGCTCTATATTTTCCTTCAGCCCTAGACTTCTGATTCCTGTCACTTTTAACCCACTAACTTTTTTTTTGGAAATAGCCACAATTTCAAAAGTTAAGTTGTGTTCGGAATTTTAGTAGTTCATTTGGTTGTCTATGTGAATATTCATTGATTAGATATGGCTACTTCCTCTTAACATATACTCCTTTTGTTTTGATTTATTTGTCTTTTTATAAAGTAAAAAAAAAAAACTTTTTAAAAAAGGTTTGCCTTCGGGGTGGCCACTGATTAAAGCTTGGACTTCCATGTTGGAGGTCTCAAGTTCGAAATCTCCTGCCAGCGAAAGCAAGGGGTTTCCCTTCTGGGTCGAGCTCGTCGCACCCGGCTTGCCTAGTGTGGTTACCTCTCCTATGTGGTTTGCGAGTTATTGCATAGGAGCGGAGTTTTTACCCAGTGCATATCCAAAGGGTAGCAGTTGTGAGTTTCCCTTGTCATAAAAAAACCTTTTAAATCTTGTGATATTGAGCTAAAAATATATAGAATGTATCCAAGTATCTTTTGCGGTCTCAAATATGTCATTTTGAAAAATTAAGATTAAAGAATTCTCATATTAAGGAAAAGAGACGTTGTTTCTTAAATTGACTAAAAAGAAAAATAAAACAAATAAAAAAAATAATTCTCACATTGGCTTGTGCATGAAATTAGCAACTCTCTTATTTTGGTGATCTACAAGAATAAGAAACTTTATTACTATATTGTTAAATTTTTAAAAATTTTTAAAACTAGTTTCATTTTGAATTCACTGACTCTACTCGCATCAATCTATCCGATCGTGACCCTTGAGAAGGCCAAAAGATAGACGCGTAGAAAGTTTCATGAATGTGGAGGCCACACATAAGATCCCAAATTTTTGGTGGCTGATCGACAAATTTGATTTGATTATGATAGTGAAGTGGTAATCCTTTGGGAATGGCATTCAAATCTTATATATATATATATATATATATATATATATATATATATATATATATATATATATATAAATTTTAAATTGGGTTAAAAAAAATTGAAATGTATTGCATGCTTTATCCGTAACTCATAAAGTTAAAAATACTGACTCCGCCTCTCAAGATCGAGAGGATCCTATGAGAATTTTGTTTTCTGTTAGTACATTTTTGCTGTTTGAAGTACAATATAATCGGAAGATAAAGCCACTAATATGAAAGGCAATTAGGCAGCCAACCTATAATAGCAGAGAGCAAACAAAACATAAAACGACAAGAATGTGTTACTACATTATTGAAATTGATTTGATAGACATAAGATATCTAACGTTAAATATGTGTATATATCTATATACACACTCACAATAACACATCTAATAGAAGAAGGAGGAGGAGGAGGAAATGTTACATGCTTTACAATTTTGATATTTTATTTAGTTGTCAAGTTTAAAATAACTTATCTTTATTATTTATACTGTAGTGATATAATAAATTATCTCTTATATATTAGGGTAACTTATCAGAGGATAACTAATACCATTACCAAAATAATTAATGCGGAAAACTAAGAGAGGATATGAGATTCTCTTTACTAGCAAGTTGACAAATGCAAGTATATATATAAGAAAGTATAAATATCAACTCCTGCCCCTTCACAGCCAAAAGACAAAAAAAAATCCGAACATGGCTAAATTTTTCGTTAAATTACTTGTAGCTAAAATAATTTTTTAATGATTCTTCATTTCAAAATAAAATTAACGATGAATTTTTCTTTTATCTATAATTTAATCTGTCACTAATTCCTGATTTTGTTTTAGTAGTGAAGCATTATGCTGGCTTGGTCCAAACATCATTACAGTAGCATTCCGTCGCTATTGAAAAAAAAAAAAAAAATTCACTGATTTAATGAATAATATATGATGTGAAATCTGACTTTTTTCACATTTTTCGTCGAATCAGACTAACTGAAAATACATGATTAGAAATAATTTTTTCTTAAAATACTAAAAGTTTATTAGAAAATATTTTTGTAGGAGAACACTATTTTTTAGAAATAAAATTAGAAAAAAACTTGGGTCGATCATAAAATTAAAAAGTGTTACTTTGCAGTCTAAATAAGATTTTAATGCAAAAAACTGTCGGTAGGTATTTAATTAATTAAGCTCTATATCATGCATGAGATAGTTTTTACAGAATAAAAATGTCTTCTTGTCATTTGATTTGATATTGTTTCACGGGTAAAAAAGAAGCTACAACCTCATTTTTAATTTATTTAATTGATTTTAACTCGTCATATAATTTTATTATTATTATTATTTTAAATTAAAGATATATAAAATAATTTATTTGATCAGATACTTGCTCTTTCCTATTTTTAATAAAAGAATAAGAGGATAAATTATCTCTAGTATACTACAGTATTCTATATCTCTTAAAAAAATACAAATGAGTTTGATTAAAAAATTACCGATAAGCTTATTGCATATAAGATTGAGAAAATAATTAAAGCTTACGAGTTCTATACGGATATACCTTTCAATCTTATGATCTTAAACATGTCACGTGAATCATTATGATAAAAAATTGCCAAAAAGAATTTTTTTTTTTTGAACGGACTAAAAAAATCACAAATAAATCAAAACGAAAAAAATATATAACATAGAATTTATCCATATTTCATGTTTTTTTTTAAAAAAATAATGTGATCATATATAAGTAATCTATTTGAGACAGTGTGAGTAAAACCTTTTTAGATCTAATTCTCCTTACATAACCACATCATCCTACTATAGAAATTAAAACTGAATTTGCAAAATATATGTTCAAATTATTATTTTTTTTAAAAAATAAACGGCAGCAGAAAGGTCATTTTCCCTTATATATTGTCAAGTATATATTGTCTCAAAACGTATTTCAATTAATATTAAATCAATATTGTCACCTACACTAATCATTCACCCAATTATCCACACAATAATAAGTAGAGAAAATATGCAATTTATTAAAATATATTGTTTTTTTTAAAAAAAATAGACAATACATTTATTAGTAACCCTCCGTGAAACAAAAAACTACAACGATCAATAAAATAAGACAAATAACATGTTATAAAAGACAAATAACATGTTATAAGAAATCAAGTTAAATTTTTTTTTCTCTACTATTCGAATATATATAAGTGAAACTCAAAATATACTAGTGATGAATAACAATAATTGATGTAAATTCTTCATGTCAAGCAGTTTCCATTTTGTTCAATGAATTTTATGAGTTTGAAAATGACAGTGAAAGAGATATGAAGGTTTTATTACAACTTGCAAGATCTTAATTAATTAAAATTAGGATCTTTAAAGATTTTTCTGTTCTTCACCTAATTTTGTGGACCCTATGCTTTACTATATTATGTCCTTAAATACTCAATTAAGTAAGTCGATTTGTGTTGATTAAAAATAAATAGTGTCATATTAGGCAAGTGTTTTAATATAATATATATTTGTGAGTGATGAATTCTAGATTAAGCAAGAAAAATAAACATATGCCATGTTCAGCATGTAAGCTTCTTCGTAGGCGATGCACTAAAGATTGTATTTTCTTGCCTTATTTTCCACCTACTGAACCACATAAATTTGTTGTTGTTCATCGTATTTTTGGTGCTAGCAACATCACCAAAATGTTACAAGTAAGTATCATTCGTAATATTATTCTCGTAGTTTCTTGTTCTTTCATTTTCCATTACCGCATACATGTGTTTTTTTGTGCTTTCCTTACCATCTATGAACTTTTTACCATATTGTATTTAATAATTCGCTTTTGTCACTACTATCATCTTTGTTTGTTTTTTTTCAAATTACAAATTGCTTTGAAATGTTTTACTTGACTGGAGGGTTTATTGGAAATAAGAATCGATAAAATCTGCATACATTATACTTTTTTCAGATTTCATATGTAAGTTTATAATAAATATGTTGATGTCGTTGTCTCTAGACTAGGTTGTGCGTCACATCAGCTATCTATTATATATCTCCTACTAGCAAAATATTAGATAACTCTGCTACCGTGAGTTAAATGAATTGGAAGAAATTACCAAAGCCTTTTAATTGCTACTTGAATTTGAACCATAATGTTTAACTTTATATTATTATATTATACACAATGAAAAGAGAGCATATAAAGTGTAAAGAACTAGCACATTCAATTTCATATTTACTAATTATGTCATTTTAAATTTTTAAATTTATAATATAATAGTGCAAAAAAAAAAAATCATTAAAAGTTAACTACAGAACTACCTTATAAGATAAAGTAGAATCAGTTCAAAAAAAATAATAAGGCTGACAAGATACTATAATAATGTATTAAATAATACACCCATAAACGAGCCATCAGTAGCGGAATCAAAATTTTCATGAAATGAATTTAACATATATTATGTTTACGTATAAAATAATTTTAACCTTGTATACATAGCATATCTGGGAGTTTTTTTTTTTTTGTATGTTTGACATTAATTTTTCAGCAGGAGATACCAATGGATAATAGAGAAGATGCAGTAATCAGCATGGTTTATGAAGCTACAGCAAGACTCAGAGATCCAGTTTATGGCAGTGTAGGCATTATTTCTGCCCTCCAGAAACACATATTTCACTTACAATCCGAGTTAAACGAAGCTTCAGCTGAAGCAATGTCTCTCAGAACACAATTATCCGATGCTTCAACATCATCCTTACCCTCATCCTTAATGCAAGTTTCTCCATTCACACCCGAGAACCACGAGTTTCACCATTCCCAGAACTCGAGCCAGCAAAATGCATATTCTAATAATGACTTGCAGCTTATACCTCCAGAAGCAGCAGACTATTGTTTCCAACAAACTGATCAAGTTCTTCATCCACTGCCTTACTAGAAGAACATATAGTTATCCCAACATGGACAATATAAAGTCAATATTTCCTTTTCATTTAACAAACACATTCTCATGTTTTTTCCTTCCATTGTTGCTCATCTAGTAAAAAATTGTAAGATTATACTACAGAAACTGTACTGAACGAAATTGAAACCAAATAACTACCAATGAAAATTTCATACAAACTATGAAAGAAAGGTAACTGAAAGTGTGCATGATCATTGTTATACATTTCAGTATCATTTAACCGAGGAGGGAACAAACTTTCAAACTCAGTATCTAGTATCAATACTACAAAAGCCTGGGCATTCTAAACAAGATACCCAGTGAAATAACATGAGTGGGGTCTTGGAATGGTAGAGTGTAAGCAGACTTTACTCCTACCTCGTGGAAGTAGAGAAGCTATTTCCAAAGGACACTCCGCTCAAGTGCAACAAATCAAAATAGTTATGAAAAGGAAAAACACAATGAAGAAAACAAAGCAACTAACAAGGAATTCTTCTTATGCAATCGACTGCATATTTTTGAATCCTTCACAGGGGTTATCCAGAAGAACGAACATAAAATCATTGATATAACATCAGTATCTTGTACAACTTTCAAGTATATATGACAGGACAACAACATCAGAGTAAAAGGCTTGAAGGATATTGTGATGGACAGAACTACTATCTAAGCCTATCTTGTAAAGAAGATTTAAGAAATATAACCTTCAAATTACAAGGTAAAATCAGGGATGATTGTTAACAACTGAGATATTCACCTTCCGTGACAAAATGAAGGGCTTACATTGGCTAAAAGGTATGAGTTTAGTAAGGATATAGTTATGTGAGAAGCTGGGAAGAAGAGGATCAGAGGCCAACATGATTTAGTGACCATGTAAAAGATCCTCGGGTTCCAGCTCCATTCCTAACCGATGTTTAATGGAAGATTGACTATTCACTGGTAATTTGATTTTCTTTTGTAATTCGACAAACCTCTGAATATCAAAATCATGCTTCTTGATCAGCTTCCTCTGCCTTGAGAGGAAAAGCCTCTTCAGCACATCTTGGTATGATGGGTCTCTAGAAGTAACAAGGAAGTAAGCATAACCTATTACTATTCCAGCAGAAGTTGTAAAAAAAGCAATTGGCTCCATCACATCCCAAGAGAATTCCCAGAACGTAAGACGGAAGAAGAGCCCAACCTGCAAAAGGCCAGCCCCTAAACCAGCCCACAAAACGCGACGCACATGCCTATGGGCAAGCTCATCTATTTTATCCTTCTTCTCTTGCAGAATCTTTAGTTCTTCTATTGTGGGGTCATTTTCGGGTAGAAGTGCCAAGGGAACTGCCTTTCTAATTTCATCCACTACCTGAAAGAAAAGAAGGAAGAACATGAAACTGAATATTTCAATAGTGAGAAAACTTTTAAGAGGGCCAGCTAGAAATGGACGTTCTATTAAGAAATGTCACTAACAAATCCAGAAACAACCAAGTATGCATTTAGAACTGCATTCTTACTCTCTATTAAGCGATAAATTTGTGATCAAAGAAAGCATAGTTCTAACTCTTTCATGATTTCCTAATTCTCGTTGTCTCATTAAATTAGAAAATAAGTAATTGGACGATGTTATGCAAATAGAGAAAATACAAAATATGACCCCTAAACTTGTCCACATAACTTATTTATGCAAATTGTATGTAGTTTAAAACTTTTAAGAGGGCCAGCTAGAAATGGACATTCTATTAAGAAATGTCACTCAAATTCAAATCCAGAAACAACCAAGTATGCATTTAGAACTGCATTCTTACTCTCTATTAAGCGATAAATTTGTGATCAAAGAAAGCATAGTTCTAACTCTTTCATGATTTCCTAATTCTCGTTGTCTCATTAAATTAGAAAATAAGTAATTGGACGATGTTATGCAAATAGAGAAAATACAAAATATGACCCCTAAACTTGTCCACATAACTTATTTATGCAAATTGTATGTAGTTTATTGATAAAATAAGTGAAGGCTAAAGCTAGAAAGGAACAATAAAATAAGACAGTAAAAATAAAACCAATTGAAAAAATGGTGTTGTACACGTGGCAGGCACGTAGCCCTCCTGAAAATGAATCTAGGATTTTTCGGGAAGGAGTATTAATTTCCCTTCAAATTAAAAAGGGGGTAAATAAACGCTTGTAAAGTTGCAGTGCTAGACTAAATTACGTGGAGAAGTTTGGGGGAGAAGTTACACATTTTCTCATGCAAATACAGAAAAGAAGTAATAGAAGCATGACGTGTCCATGCAAATGTGACAACCCCCTCGGGATTCACATATTCAGGTATTGTCTCTGCCATGGGCGGCCATGCAGCTTAATTGGTGAAAGGCGATCTCCTTGGGAGGGATGTAAAGGAGCCATAGGTCACGGTTCGATTCTCCCTTGAGGCTGCATGCCAATAAGAGGGGATTAAAAGAGCGAATGGCCGCCCATGTTGGTAAGAGGCGATCTCCTTGGGAGGGATGTAAAGGAACCATAGGTCACGGGTTCGATTCTCCCTTGAGGTTGCATGCCAATAAGAGGGGATTAAAAGAGCGAATGGCCGCCCATGGCAGAGACAATACCTGAATATGTGGATCCCGAGGGGGTTGTCACAGCAAAATAAGGCATATTTATACTATCAGCTAATGGACTGAGAATCTAGCAGATTTTAGGCAATATGAGACGATGTCTACAATAAGGGAGGTGGTTATGGAATGAGAAAACTAACAAGAGTTCGTTCTCCACAATTCTTATATTATTGCTTATTGAAAGCCTATTCAATAAGTTTCAGCATGCAACCAGCATATCAAACATCACCAATCTCCAATCACCATCACCAACCCCTGCCAGACTGCCTTACACCTTTCATTGTGATTCTCATAAATACTCCAATCAAAGGCAGGACATTCACACTGATTGACTCTGCTAGTTTATATTGATCTAAGGAAACTGCGATGCAACTACAAAACACATCAGTTAATCCAAGCTCACACCATTGATTGATACCATGTTCTCGAATTAATGGTTCCAATTTTCTGATGAAATTGATTACTAACCGTTAACAGCTAATTCTTAGGAAAAACTAATCAATATACGTCCTTGTTACGTTGCATATATTACCAAAGGCTGACAGAAAAAGCAGAACAAGTGAGCGAAGCTAAAGAAACTATGTCGTTCTTGGCTCTGGAAATTTTAGCATATGCTACTGACTGTATGCTTTCCTGTTTCCCCTTCCTTCTACGTTGCCGGTAATAGATTCTCCTCACAACACCAAAAAGCGAATAATATTCCTTCCCCCGTCTTAGAGGGCAATGAAACCAACCACCACAGTGATACCCTCAAAGATCTCATCTTTTTCATGATCTTATTATCCTGATGTTGTCACTACTTATGTCTTCATAAATGTTCTGTTTTTGATTCCCCTGAGCCGAGAATAAAACAACCTCCATACCTGCCAAGGTAAGGTAAGATCTACATACACTCTAATTGCCGTTTCTGGTTTCCTTATATATTACAGTTAGACAATGTAATTTATACATATCAATCATCAATCAAACACCTTTTACACAAAACATTGAAAACAAATCCATAAACATAAAAAACTTAAAAGAGAAAAAAGCAAATAATCACCTTATCAGGATGAAGATAAACTTTATCTCTGAATAGCAATATAACACCAGCCTCATCAAGAACTCTAGCAAAACCAACAGCTTCATCATGGGTTTTAGCCACACCCATATTCTTACACGCCTTTAACAGATCCATATACCCAATAACCTCCGTATTCTTCATCCCCAATTTCCACTTCAGCTCCTCAACATTCACCAATCTCATCAACCTCTTAGCTTCCTCATGAGTAATACTATCCCCATTCTTGTTTTCCCCACCCCCATTTGACCCAGAGCTAAAATAGTACCCACCCACCATTCTGGTCGGGCCACAATAGCACCCGAACTTATAATCCACACCCAAAAACGGCCTCACCCCATTGTTAACCGTATTTGTCCTCGCAACCAATGTAACTGTCCGTTTCAATAGATTACAGGAATTTCTCCACATCTTTGACAAATTAAAGTTGAAAATTGGGAATAAGAGTTGAAATTGTTTGAGAAATAGAGTGTTTATAAGAAACGAGAATGGCGGTATGGTCTTGTAACTGTTGAAATGGAGTTTACGAAAGCCATCGAAACTCCGGCAAAATGAGAGAGAAAATAGGGTTACGAGCAACGCATTTGACACGGTCACACGCTTCAATTGATGCGACACATGTTCTTTTACCAAACTTCCTAATTTTTTTTTGGATAAAGTGGGTCATCAAAAGATTAGATGTCTCTAAAGATCATGGTCTATAATTAATTTTGATTCGATTAATTTAAATTTATATTTTAAATATTATTTTTTAAATGTAATTTGAAAATTAAGAGATTAAATCATTTTAATTATAATATTTTAAAAAACTCATTTTTAATAGTTCACATCGATGAAAAAGCTTTGCATCTTATGTTGCTATCGCAGCGTTAGCTAATGGCTTAAAAAAATTATTTTCGATAGATCTTCATTTAAGAGAAATTTTATTAGAATTGTAAAAATTACTAACATGTTAATTTTTATTTTTTTTTGTTTACATGGCCCTAAAATAAGATTATGATACTCTTATTTATTATTTTAAATTCATATATTTTTCTTTTATGCAATTAATTAGAGTATATGAAATTTAAATATAATGAAAGGTCTTTAATTATCACACTTATATGTGTTTGAAATATTTTAAGAGGGTGAATATATACCATAATTTTGTATGTTGATAAAAGGGACGAAGCACTATTATTATTATATTAATTAATATTAATAAAACGGAACAATTGCTTGATTATGAAGAATCCACCAACAAACGTGATTTAAGAACTTTTTTGTTTCTTATCTTTGAATAAAATAAAATAAAGATTCTTGTTATTGGCATTACCTTTCCTTGGTAGTATAAAATTATTCTGACCAGAGTCCCTTTGAGTGTTCTAGCTATTTGTTTAAGAGTTGATGTTATCATTTAAAAAATAGTTAATAGTATAAAAAAATTACAGTACTTACTTTAGCACGTAAATTAAATCCTTTTATTTTAATATTAGATTTGAAATATGGACACAAGTAATACCAAAAAAGTCGGTATTACAAACAAACAAAGAATGTCATTTTTTTTTTCAAATTAAAGAAATTCAACTTGTTTGTAATCGTTTTTTTCAAGGATGCTTGGCAAGGCATGACAAATTTGACTTACACGGCTACCTTTCATCTCTAAATTATATTTTGATATTTTTGAGCATTCTTTGATTCAAAGCTTCATTTTATTTCAATTGAAAAAGTAAATAACGTTTCAAGAACAAATTTAATTTTATTTTCGTATTAATTTTGTATTGTTTTTTATGTTGATGTTTTTTTTTGTGTCTAATTTCACGTAATCTTTTTCAAGATCAATTTGATATTTTGAAAAAATAGAGCTCAAATTTCCTTTGTTTTCTATATCTGATCCACACTCTCTTTGACTTGGAGGTTGTTTTGCTTCTTTTCTTTTTAATTTGAATACAAATGAAAATGTAATTCAAAATAAAAAATAAAAACAAAATTTTTTTCTACCATCAAATAAAAATGACACGTCCTTTGTGGTGTTGTTTTTATATGTTTTATGTCTTAGCCAAAATCGAATTTGTCATGTCAACAAATCGAGTTAATTGAACAGGTAACATTCTATCTTTGAAAGATCTTGCATGTTTTTTCGTTCTTTTAT